AAAAAAAAAAAAAAAAGAACAGACGTCAATGCTATATTGCTTAATTCATTTAAAACATTAAGCTATTCATAGAAGAAAAACTAAACCATCAAATAAGGAACACAAACAATTATTTAGTTAGGCCATCAACACGTGTCTGTAGGTGAAAATATTTGATGATAGCTAGCTGATATTACCGGAATTTGAACTGACACCTTCACAAATAATTGTGTGATATTGTGATGCAAAAGTTTAAAATTCTTAAAAGAAAGAAAGAGATATAATTATTAATATAAGTTGTACGAGGAAATAATTCTTTATAACTAGTTACAATTTGAGTAGAATAAAAAGACGTATAAAGATTTCCTATTTCTGTATTATACCAATTTCCCAATAAAAGAGCCCTAATCAATAAGACATATTAAGACCTATTAAGTGGTTGGAAAATATTAAAAAATACACTTAATGATTAAGATTTAGATTAAAAAATAAACACACTTAATATCTGATCGAAATGATTAAGATTCAAACTTTCATTAAGTACAAACAAATGAGGTCTTAGTGACCAAGTTTGTGAGGAAGTAGAATCATAATTGGAGTCTTTTTGACGAAAGAAACATATTTTCCATATATTTCCTTTATTCTCTAAGGTTAGAAGATCTTTACAGTATATATTCTCTACAAAATTGGTGAAAATTAAATAAATTTCTTGCTAAAAAAGAGTTATGATTTAGGAAACAAATAAGAAAAATTGAGTACTCATATATGGTAAGTTATTCATGAAGCAGGTCTCTTATTAGTTATGTCCTTTTATAATTTGGACTCATTATGCTACTAACGTGTTACCTATATATAGTCCAAGTTTACTTCATTGCAGGTATGCACTTTCATTATTTTTTCAGAGAAAATTGATAGAAAGTAAGAAAAAACGAGTTCAAAATTCTGAAGTGGATATTAAAACCTAGAATGTGCAAAAGAACGAGAATAGAGAACCTGTTCCTTGATACAATACAAATTTATTATGTATAGTCTAGTTCATTGTATTAGGCTTATTGAGTTGTAATCTTATTTTATTATACAAAAAGCATTTCGAGAGGTTTTTCTGTGATAGAATTCAAGTCTTAGACTAGAGTTAGCTTGAGCATTTTGCTACAATCAGAGTGGTTGTAGGCAGTCTCTTAGGTTGTAAGGGTTCTGTAACCTGAGATTGCTCGTTGTTTTAGTGAACTTTTTGTAAGAAATCCTAGAGGTAGGTCGTGGTTTTTACTCCCTTAAGCGAGCAGTTTTTTTACGTAAAAATCTTCTGTGTATTTAATTCCACACTTTACTATTTCAGTTATTCAACGGAGAAGCAAATATAAGAACCAAGTTCTTATACAGGTGTCTAAGTGGTGAACTCAATTAACAAATATTAATTAAATCCTCTTTTCAAATATACATATTTTTGTTGGCATATGAAGTTTTTAAACTTTTTAGGTTTCAAGAATTATGTAGCCATTATATGTTATAGATCCTCAGATCAATTGATTAGAAAATTAAGAAAATCATCTTAGAACAAAAAATTCAACTGATTTTATCACAACTC